ATATAAACAAGAGTGCTTCTTCTTACGAACGCCTCTTCACGAGGTTTGGGGTGCCACATCTTTTGAAGATCTCAGAACGGTGGATGGTTTTTTGTGTTCAACTTACAGAGAAGCCTGCATCATGCGTGGTTTGCTTGAAAATGACAACCATTGGGAGAATACCATTACTGAGGCTGTTATTACTAATAGTCCAAACCAACGCCGGCGCCTTCTTACTTTGTTGATTAGATGTTGTGAGATGACCTGCCCTTGCGGTCTGTGGTTAAAGTTCGAAAATGATGTCTGAAGACTACCGGTATCAGCTGCAGTTGCAAAATGGCGATGCTCACATCGAATTTTATTCTGCCATCTTCAACATGGCCCTAATTTCCATTGAGAACATCTTGGTTGGCGTGGGTCGTGAGCAACTTCATACGTACAGATTCCCTCTGCTTGACAGGAGCGTTGGAAATCAGCTCCTCACTGAACTGCAGCGTGAGGTTTGCTACAATGTTATCGAGCTGGCAGCATAGGTTTCTCTGAACAAACCAAGGCTACTGGTCGACCAACTCCACGAATTCAACACTATTAATGACAGTGTGAATGGTCGCAGTAATGGTGATCACGTTTTATTTTTGAATGCTCCTGGTGGAACTGGCAAAACTTTCGTCCTCAAGTTGCTCCTTGCCGAGCTGCGCAAAGACGGCAAAACTTTTTTAGCTGTTGCATCGGCTGGTATTGCAGCGACGCTGTTTCCTGGCGGCAGAACTGCTCACAGTACCTTCAAGCATCCCCTTAGGTTAGCCGACGATGGAACTGCAACATGCCAAATAAGCAGAGGCAGTGGTTCTGCTGAATTGCTGAAGCGATGCTCAGCAATAATGTGGGACGAGCGCACAATGGCAAACAGAATTGCACAGAAAGCGCTGGATAGAACTTTGCGTGATATCACAGAAAAGACCGCTCCGTATGGCAGCATCACAATGGTTTCATCTGGTGATTTTCGTCAGACTCTACCTGTGATTCAAAGGGGTACCAGAGGTGATCAGGTAAAGTCCTGCCAACCATATGCACCGTTATGGTCTACGGTGAAGCCATTGGAACTAACAACACTATGAGAGTGCACCTCAATGCTGACCATGAGTACGGCGAGTTCTCCACTAATATCTTGAAGATCGGTGAAGATAAAATCGCAACCGATGCAACCGGACGCATCCCTCTTGCTTTTGTTGCAAATTTGGTGAGCAGTTGCGAAGACCTAAGAGGAAAAGTTTTCCCTGACCTCCAAAACAAATTCTCCGACGTTGAGTGGCTCTGCGAACGTGGAATTCTGGCCCCCACAAATAAATTCGTCGATGCCATTAACGAGAGACTAA